GTGTTTTTGGGCACGAAAATCCTCCATAGTATATGTACTTGGCTAATTAAAAAAAGTTGCTTATCATGTCCTTTTCCATGATCAACCAACTAAAATTAGGGTACATAGATTATTATTGCATCCTAAAGTTTTTATTTTTGGGCCATTACATCTTAAAGTGTTAGGTATTATTTATTAGTAATTTATTGTATTGTATTATAGTTATAAGTTTTGTTTTTTATTATTCTAAAAATATATAAAATATTAATTAATATTAATCAAGCTTTTTATAATTATAATACCATATAAGATTATAAGTTTATAATTATTATATGACATTAAATAAGTATAATGCGTTATTAAATGAATGGTTGTATATAATATCATGGTGGATCATAAGAGAAAAAGTTAATTATATAATAATATATCATGTTGTTACAATGTCACATAACGATACAACTATATTATTTATTAGATAAAATGTTGTATGAAAAAGTTATATGAAAAGTATGATTAAACAAAACTTTAATATTATACAAAATTATTACCTTTTCAACCATATTTAGGCTTGGTTTAGTAGTGTTGTGCTGAATTCATAGATTTTTCTATCTTTCACTATCCTAAAAATATTTAAAATATAATTAAAATTTGTAAAAGCATTTTTTCTAACCTTTGCCCTTTTGTGTTCTGAGGACATATGTTAAGAGTCTTGAAAGAATAATTATTGACATTTAATTTATTAATTATTTAATTAAATTTATTCACGTGACAATGATTATGAAATTAATGTCAACTTTTATATTTTTATATAAAAATTTATGGTAAAAAATTACCCTTAGCCTCTGTTCTTATAACACAAATTAGAAAAACTCTTAGTGAAAATATGAAAAATTAATTAAAATTAATAAATTTACATTTTAGACAAAGTACTATGTGAAAAAAATGTAAGAAGTATGGTCAAATAAAACTTTAATTTAACTATTAATAATAACTAATAGATAATATTATATATATAATGATTAACAATTGTCATTATTATTTATAATTTAAATGCCCTTATTCATCCAATTAAAGAAAATAGGTATCAATTATTTTTTAATCACTATCCACCAAAAAAATTATTTCTTAATAATTCAATCAAATATGGCCTAAATTTTTGAAAATGTCATTCATATTAATTTTCAGTTATATTAATAGACAAAAAAAGTTAAAAAAAGAAATCGATAACTTAAATAGTTTAATAATAATTTTTTTTAACAAAATTAAGATATTTTAAATTCAAATTTTATGATATGTAAATAGGATAAGTTAAGAAATGAGAGAGAATTAGGTCCCACTGTGTGCAATTCAAGGTAAAAAAAATAAAAAAAATAATTTAATATAAAATTAACATTAGTAAGATGTGACAATAAGATTATCCTAATAATAATTAAAAAAAGAAACAAATAAAAATATAAAAACTAAGACTTTGTGCATTGAAAATCAAATAATACTAACGTTAATTACTAGTTAGTATATACTTGTTCAATTGATAGATTTTGAACTTTTTTTCTCTTGTTTGGTGGACCCACAAACACAATTCACTAAAAAAAAAAAAAAACTATTGCGCTAACGGTCAAAGATGCCACTGTTAAATGGGAGTTATAAACGGTGTTAAAGTGGTGTTAGGGGAAGAAGGTAAATGTAATGGAAAGTTAAAGTAGAGGGAGGACTATGGTATGGTTTGGAAAAGTAGAGGGAGGACTTTGAACGAAAATTGAAAGTAGAGGGACTATTGTTGGCTTAAC